ACACAGCCGGTCCGAGTTGTCGGGGGCGGTAAAGTCAAAACTCGGGATTCCGTCATGTTCGACCGACATTACACGAAGGCTCCAAATGAAAAGAAAGGAGGTGATCCTTATATTCTGGCTATTTGCAACTACTGTCCGGCCAATTCGAAGACGAAGTATCAGTTCAAAAAAGGCGACGGGTACAGGACGTTGACCCGACATTTGAAGAATGTTCATCCGACCGTAATGGGAATCGACACGGCACAAACGCAATTCCCAAGTAGCAGCGGAGCATCCGCCTCAGCCACTCAAGGTGCAGGTACGTCTTTATTTCATTACTCTCATGAAAATCATAGACGTCATTTAGCTGAATTTGTTTCTGCTTCGTCTCTTCCTATAGTTTTGGTGATAGTGATTTATATGAAAATTTTGCTCAAATGGCTTTAAATCCGTCTGCCAACCGAGTTCCTCGTACCACCCTTACTCGCGATATTCGAAAAATCGTGAGTGAGAAGAAACTAATTTTAAAAGAAAATTTTAAATCTTTAAATCATAGAGTATCCATTTGTGCTGATATATGGTCCGATCATTGGATAAATAATTTTTATTTAGGGATTACTTGTCATTGGGTTGATGATAGTTGGACTTTACAAAAACGTTTAATCGCTTATGTTGCATTTCATGAATGACACACTGCTTCTAATATTGCTCGTTTAATTTCAAAAATCTTAGATAAATATAGTATTGGTTAAAAAGTATTTTCAATTTCATTTGATAATGCGACTGCAAATACTGCATCTATACGTGAATTAAATGAAGTTTGTACACCAATCTGTGGGGGTAGATTTTTTCATATTCGTTGTATATGTCATGTTTTAAATTTGTGTGTTCAAGCTGGTTATCATGCTTTTAAGGATTCTGTGACGCCAATAAGGGAGGCCGTCAATTATTTGCATAAACGTCCCCAGGAAATGAAAGCATGGGGACGATTTTGTAAGAGTGTTGGAATTAAACCTAAAAAATTCCAGCCAGACGTGCCTACCCGGTGGAATTCAACATTTAAAATGTTGAATGTCACCACTGATTATGCCGAGCATTTACAGGTTTTTTTTTAATGATCCAAACCGTAGGGATTGTGATGTTCGACTTTCGGCGAATGATTGGGAAAATTGTTACAACTTACAAATTTTTTAGAAACATTTCAAAACGCTACTAATATTCTTTCTGGTGTTTACTATCCTACTGCTCAACTTGTGGTCAGTCAATGTATAGCTATAATGTGGGGTTTTAAAGATATTTATGACTTAGAACCTTTTAAATATTCTGGTCTAGTAGAAGATATGTTACAAAAATGGCTAAAATATTATTATTATACTCCCGATACATTTTTAATTGCATGTCTGTTAGATCCTACAGTTCGTGAGCAAGGTTTGTTAAATCAACTTAATATGTATTATGATTATATGTATCAATTGCCACTGCCGAGTGGGGTCCCGTCTTACAGGGTCAAACCTAACATACCGCAGCTCGTCGAGCAAGCAAAAAATTCGTTGTATGACATGTTCAGGGAAACAGCGATCGCACATGGAGA